CAGGAGAGGAACAAAGAGCAAATGTCCCCCTACTTCTCATTGAGAATCTCTGTCATAATATTTTCTTTTATATTTTATGGTACAGGGTACATCTTTATAGTCTCAACTCATAGCAAGGGGTCTACTTTTGAAGGGGTTTTATAAAGTTCAATACTGTTCTATTCTATGCTGTTCTTCATTTTCTGGTTTAAAATTTATACCACCCCACTATACAGGAGTGGTCAAAAAAGTTAGACAATAACTCCAAAGATAATTAATGTTTATGATTTCTTATAAGGGCCACATATTACACAGGTATTCATTTATATAACTCTCATGACTTGTGTGTTTGGTAATATTACCGCCATTTTCCAGATGATGAAACCATGTGATTTTCCGAAGGTCATTTAGAGGAACAGCGGCCCTTTGATCGCTGGTTTCTCCGATTCTGAAGGCAGTAATGTTTCCCCACACCAGTGGTTCCCAAACTGTGATCCCCAGACCAGCAGCAGCAGCATCACCTGGGAACTTGTTGTAAATGTAAAGTCTTGGGCTCTAATCCACCTACTTGATCAGAGCTCCAGGGGTGGGGGCCTAGCAAACTGTCCAATAAATCCCCCCAGTGATTCTTAGTGATCAGATTTGAAAACCACAGGCTTATGCCATGTAGCACAACCTGCATAAAATTATTGCTTATACTCACTGTAGAGAGGACTTGAGATCTATGGGGTGTCTTTAAAAAAAATTTTTTTTTGTCAATTTTGAACAAACATGTATTACGGATATATGGTAATTTGACATAATACCACAGAATCACTTGAAGTAGGGGTTAGAAAGCAGGAAGGCTGAGGGTCGAAGCCCACGTTCACCATCAAATGTTATATAATATTGTCAAGTTACATAACCTTTGTGAGTTTGGGATTTGTTTTCTGTAAAAATGAAAATAAAAATGAGATCATGCACAAAAAGCACTTTAGTCCAATGTCTAAAATTTGATAAATACTTAGCAAAGTAAATATAGTTTTCATCACGATTATCATTATTAAAGACAATAATATTAGTAACATTATAATTAATTGCATGAGCAGTGAGGCTTATGTATTATGCACGCTGCAGAACTCCAGAGACGCTCCTCTACTTGTAATTTTTATCATGAAANTATTAGTAACATTATAATTAATTGCATGAGCAGTGAGGCTTATGTATTATGCACGCTGCAAAACTCCAGAGACGCTCCTCTACTTATAATTTTTATCATGAAATGGCCTTAAGTTTTCCAATTTCAACATAAATTTCTAATTCATTTCACTTCAATAAACATTTTTGATGTCCTCTAATGTACAGGGTACTCTGTTGTTTCAAGGTATTTTTTAAGCAGGATGATGATACAGCTATCAATTTACATGTTAGGGAATGGACACCATTATCTATTAAATAATTTTTTTAACTTAAATATTTTAAATCTTCATCTATATTGGCTTAAAGCTTTAAATTGTACTTTTTAACAGTATTTGAAAACTAATGCATTATCACCAATTTAAGGGGCTGTGTTATTGTGGACATATCTAATTTCAGGTTAAATTTATTTATTCAAAGAAAACCTCATATTGTCATATTGTGATCTCTGTATAGTTAACTGTACAATCTCAACAGTATTTTGATACAGAGGTTTTCAAATAACAGTTCACTTGCAGTAATGAAATATTCCCTATATTTTGCTCAGTGAAGCTCAGGCCAATTATTTCTTGTTTATTTGCATTAACTAGTGAAAGAAACCACTGTCTGTCTCTTTTATTATGCTTTTTATACAGACAAAAAAGCTAGCATTTTTCCTATGTCTTTTTTTTTTTAGAGTGAAATTTTCAGGTCTTCAACCTCCTTTTGTATCTCATGTTGTCAGGATCTTTTTATCTTTTCTATTGTTCTCTACTGAATGCTCAGCACTTTGTCTCTTTTCTAAAATGTGGTGTCTGCTGAACTTAGTCCCCAATTCACAGCCTAACAAGACCTGAATGTAGCTCAATCTGTTTTTATGCATGACATCACCATTACAATTCAAAGCACTGCAGCATTTGAATATTTTAACAGGGATCAGAATGTCGACTCATTCAATTTATCATCTACTGTCATTGTTGAATTTTTTTCTCTGCTGCTACCATCTCTAGCTTTTCATCCCACTTTTAGGTTCCATTATCTTGCTCTGCATCAACTTTCACATCCATTTCATTTTTCTGGACCCAATGTCACTGATTTAACCTATCTCTCCAGCATATCAAGATTAGTCTATAGTAGCACAACACCCCAAAGATTTGTAATCCCTGCTACTTCCATGATTCACTGTCATTTAGATTTATGAGCATAAATACAGAGCATCTCCCAAAAATATTTTATAAGTATACTACTATATTACCTTGGAGGTTTTTTGAAAATGATTTTTAGGGTTCCACTTAAATAAAAACAAAAAAAACTGACATGTTTGTTGTTTCAGGCACATTTAAGCAGAAAACTTGCAGTCCTCTTTATTGACTCAATATAAGAAAGTCAAACTCAGAAAATAAAGTTAAACTCAGCACCAACTACAGGACTGCGTTGTTTTATTATTAAACTGTCATCCAAAAAATACAGATTAAACCTCTGATCATCAGTGAGGATGCCGTGCCCTCTCCACAGGAGGTCACTTGTATATACTGGGGCATGTCACAGGGTCGGCTGAGCAAATCTTAGTAAACACAGAGTTAGTTTCACTTAGCATGCTTACTTGCCCAGTTACCAAAGAAAGCAAAGCAAGGGAATATAAAAATGACAAAGGAAATGTAACAAAAGTACCTTAAAGTCTTAGGCCTAAATTTAATTATTTTATCGTGAATAAATGACACAGTTATCAAAATCAAAATCAGCTGACATCTTACAAATGAACTTTTATTTATGAAGGAGTTATGGAAGTGATGGATTCTTCAAACTGGAAAGTCATAAAATTACTACACTCGAACAAAACATCACTCCAAGCGCCTTCATTCTGCCTGGAATCCCCAGCCATGTGCTTTCCATATTCATCACACACCCCACCCCGCCCTCCGCCCAGCCTTGTCCATCCCACAGCCCTGCTCACCCTTCAGGAGGCAGAACGCAGTCCCTCCGAGGCAGCAGTCCCTCTCCCTTGGGTTTTCACCCTGCTTGTGCTTCCAAGAATGGCTATTTGTTGACAGAGCTCTACCTTCTATTAATTTTGAGCCCTGCCTCTGCCCTTTGCTTTCCAGCTACCAGCTGCTACTGAGAATCACTCAACAAAATTTTTTTAAGTAAATGAATTATTTTAAAAACAGTATTTTCCCAGTAGCTATATTTTTAAGTGTAGGAAGGGATATTAGGCTTGAATACTCTAAAGAAATTACAGTAATGTAATGGACTGAATCCAATTTTAATAAATGGTAAGAATATATGTTAACAAGAGTAAATTCAATAAAGGGTAAAAAAACAGCAGCTCTGAGAAAAGGCATGTGTCAGTAGCAAAACAGAAAATAAACAAATAAATTATCAAACAGAAAAAAAGAGGAAGAGGAGAGACCACATTCTTTAAATAATACATTTCACTTTTTTTTTTCATATGCATACATGACTATGTATCTTAATAAAATTTTGGATGTATTGATTTTGAATAACTGATTATGTTTTCATAGTTTAAATATATGTGGTAGAATTAAAGGAGTGGGAAGAAAGCAGAAAAAAGTTTTTATAACATTTTTAAGTCTAATATAATAATTTTCACAAGACGTAGCAAAAAAAGATAATCATTAGTAAAAGCTGAAAAATGAAGATGCTTTAGTTCTAGAGAAGACTGAAGAAAGATTTAATCACTGTCTTCAAGTATATGATGGGTCAATTGAGAGATAATAATGATAAAATATTTTCCTTCTTAGCTCAGTATAAGACTGGAAATGATTGACTTAAAGGGGAAACAGAAAAATCCTAGAGAAGGTGAGATATTATGACAAATTACTAAGTAACACAGTGAAAAGTTTCCCTCAGTTTTAAAGCAGGATAGCTACCTTTTGACCTGGATGGAGTCAGTTATGACGCATCAACCTAAATAATTCTCAACAAGACCAATACCAATCTGTTCCATAATTCTCCTGTGGTTCTCTATGGTCACCTAGAACAAATCCCTTTCGCTGTTGCCCACGGGGTCATCCAGACACTCAGATCCGGGACAAGTCCACTGTGGCATGCGGAGTAGAATCATCCGAACCAACTGTCCCCTAGCTCCTCAGACTCACCTTAAGGCAGTGGCCAAAGCCTGGGGAGGACGGATTATAAATTACCCCAAGTGCAAAAGGCAATGAAAAACAATGCTCCTTGGAAATATAAAGCCACCCAAGAAGTTTAAAAAACTGCAGTAAGAAGATCACTGATCTCTAATTTTTTATGAATATTCTTTTCATTAACATTAATGAGTGACATTTAGTATAATGTTTTTTATTAAGAGTAATTCTATTAAATAACTTTAACCTCCATAATGTATTAAAATACTGACTGTGGAATTCCAAGATAAGATATAAGTTTAAGGTCTTTGTCAAGAGTCACTGAAAGAGTAAAGATCTTTTTCTATAACCTTTTTGTTTTTAGTTTTTAACATTAACATTATGACCCTTTGTATCATATGCTTTCAGTTGTTTAATGAATAAATACCACAACCTTTATAAACAACCTGAGAGTCTGGCCTACATTTAATTATTTTGTTCTCGTGGGATAGCTAAGCTATCAAAATTCAAAATAAACTGACGCCTATATATGATGAATAAAGGCCTAATTTTAGAGTTATTTCAAAACTCAATAAAACTTTGCAAAGGTAAGCGCATCGTGGTTTCACGCTGCTGCTTTGTAAGCTGTGAACCTGAACCAAAGTGTTGCAGTTTGTTTGTTTTTTGTCTTGATTTTCTCCAGGTGATATATGGGATGCATCCACTGAGAATCTGAAAGCAGCATTACGTCATATCAAAAATTCAGGATTTGGCTCAATTTACCTGTTCCTGTTGCTGGAAATCCAATCTGAAATAAGTGTTGATGCCTGTTGGTGACAGTGCTTGTTGCCAAAACTGCAGGCCAGCATTATAACTTCTCGGCGTAGTTCTCTTAAGTATCAACAAAAGGAAAAAAAAATGTTTAAAGCAGTGTTAATATCTGGGGAGAAAGGGTAACTCATTACAGTACACTACAGTAGATAAGTAAATAATTAGCAGAAAAATAGTTTTCAGATACGGAAATCCTGTTTTGCTGAGTAAGAGACAGGCAGAGTAGAAGTTAATCATATGAAAAGTCTGCTCTGGAAACAGTGCTACAGTGAGGGAGGGGCATGGGTTCAGATCTCAGCTTCACCAATAAAGGCAGACCTTAAATTAAAACATGTCAAGGAAACGCCTTTGTTCTCAGCACCAGAGGGTGGAAACTATATTCCCCATCAGCTGTCCTCCCAGGAAAGGGAAGATACCAAATGAAAGATACCAAATGAAAGAAAGATCGTTTCATGCTGCTAAAGCCACAGTGGTACTAGTAGGATATTATTGTACAGTTCTGGGGGGAAAAAACAAATAATAAAACAAAACAGTACTCATGTTGGTAGGACGCTTGAACAAGAGATCCATTAAAATTGTTTTTTGGCCATCCAAGCTTGATGTACGTTGTTGCAACTTGCTTTAAAATATATTCCTAAATGAAGGTAGAGGGGAAAAAGATAATGTCAGTTTCAAATCTCTCCATGATGACAATTAAAATTATACAATGAAATTAAAATATTTTCTAAATAATTTAAAATATCAGTAAAATTTTGGCATAGAAATGATCTATTATAGTTTCATTCAACTTAGTATTTCAGATATAGATAATAAGAATAAAATACAATTGCAATGATGGAAGTCTACTCTTCTTATTGAACAATGAAGTAACTTGCACTATTATTTTCGATGACAATTTTTGTAGTAAAACAAAGAAACAGGAATATTGATAATGACACTCATGCATACATATATACAAATGCATGTAGGTAGAGTTTATGAACATGAGTGCCTAATATTTATGCATTTTACCTCAAAAGAGCATATTAAATGCAAGCCTATATATAGATCCAGCCAATAGCCTGGCATTGTTGGATCTGACATGCACAGAACACTCTTCAGTAAAAGGACACAGTATTTCAAAGTCAATAATTCATTCAGGTAATAATATATTTAAATATCAATGTAAGGTATGCTCTCCTCACCTTAATGTAGTCCTGAATTTTGTCAAAAGAATGAAAGCACTAAAATTATAGTAAAAGCAGTTCTTAAATTTACTGAAATTGAGGTGTCTGATGGGATATACTAAAGTACAAATATATAAAAAGTGTATTTTACTTTTACAAAAGTTTAGTATTGCAGTGCTTCTGTGTTGAGTAAAGAGAAGTGTAATAAGTCTTTCTCTAACATATAAAAATTATGCCATAACTATAATGGCACATTTCTTTGCATGTCTGTTTTAAGGGTTTAGACAAAACTAACAAAACTCACAGTCAAGCCAGAATTACTCCTATTTGTAAAAAAAATTAAAAAAGAGATGCTTTCATGTAGGTTCAGGATAAGATAAAAAGAAGCCACTCTGATGGCCATCAGACAATGTAGATGGTTCTAATAAGCAGATTTTTAATTAGATCTGGTCACGATAATTCCAAATGTGTAGGTTAATCAGCAGAGCCAGTGTGTCATGAGAAACAGAGTAATTTTATAAAACACAGGGAGGACTTTTCAAATAACTAAATGAAAATAGTGCTCAGGGGTGATAGAAGGCAGAGAGATATAGTCTCATATGCCAAGTCTCACTGGGCATGGGACATTTAGGAATCAAAAGCCCATTAGAAGTACTTAATCCTAACCTGATTCAAAATGATGATTACATGAGATTAGGCAGGGTCAGCAGTGCAATTCTGCTTCACCAGGCTTCTGGTTTAGGAAATCTGGTCAGGCAACATTTTGAAATGTTTGTCATGTCTTCATGTCTGTTTGGATTATCTGTTGTTTGCTTTCTTGGGTCCCCTTGGACCCAATTATGAATGGCTTTTTGCCTCAATGTTGATCTTATCCTTGTTAATTAAGGAAGTGAATTGAATTCACTGTGCCCTTTCAGATAAAAATAATGACTTAGAGCCTTTACTGAAACTGTCTATATTCTGTTAAGATCTTCGCAACCCTTCCACCCAGGTTAAGTCCTTTGCGAACACAGAGCCCTTTAACTCTTGGAAAGTAAGTTTGAACTTTAAGAATTTGCCATGTATATTTGTTCTTAAATTCTGAGGCATTTAAGCTTCATTGACACTTTTAGGCCAGAACAAAAAGTAGCTTGTATTAAATTTTTTTCTCCAAAGTAATAACTGTCATCACTGTTGCACAGGAAATGAGGGCAAAAATGATAATATAAATTAGAAGGAACTAAAATAACTCAGGGTGAGTTGAATAGAGTAGATGAGAAAATACTTTATCATCTGAACATAGAAAGAAGAAAATATATCTTTTTACATTGAAGACATTGTATTTCTCCATGCGGTCCAGTAATTTATCCAGCGGGTAAAGAGCTCGGCTGGCTGCGTGCCAAGGAAGAAAATCTTTCTCCGCAGACAGGTATCTGATCATCTCCAGGGGAATATTCTGAGGCAAATAGCCAGCTCTGCACAGTCGAAAAAGTTAATGTTAATCATATGCAAAAGAGGGACACGATGATGCAAAAATGAAGATTGTACTTATGCAAATAAGAGGCAGAAAGCAAGATTCATCGCGGTATAAAGAAGCCATACTCGGTGTCATAAGAACAAAATTACTCACTTTTTAAATATAGTTCAACTGAGGATGCCAATGCCCCTTAATATATAGAGTTGGACAGTTAAAGATTTACATGAAGAGAAAAAATATCAAAATTCATGGTTTTAGAAAGAAAGAATTGCAAAATTTGAACAAAATCAATTCTAGGGAAGGTCCCTTCACAGAAACTCCTCAGAGGTCACAAGTTATTGAAAAGAATTGATTACTGAAATAAAATTTCAGCTGCTCCAGCATTCTCTTTACTTTTCATGTAGCTCTGTGTACTCATATTTAACACAGATTGCTTTCAAAATGATGATCGAATTAAAGCGGCAACTTTTAGTTTTGACTATATCTATGTTACCTTATAAGATAAGCATTTTCCAAACCTGCCAGTTATTTTTTTTAAAAAATGCTTTCCATAGCACCTATGAAAATCAGAGTTAGATTTTAATAGAATCCAAGTTACGAAAATGTTAAGAAAATAGACTCTTCCCATTTATTATTTTCCTTTTGAAATAAACACCATGTCACCTTGTGAACCATGTCAGATACTTTGGAAAATATGAAGCTGAAGCTTTTAAAAATTATTTGAACACTTGTTGCCTGTTTTTAAAGAGATTATATCCAAAAAAGGAGCCAAAAAGAATGTATATCTCTACTCTCCAGTAGATTGCATATAAAATCCTTGCAAATCAAAGCAATATAAATGACAATCCACAGTACATTAAAAGATGGCCTTAACCTTGATGTGCCTGATGCATACATATTTTTCTGTGTTTTTCTACATTAATAATACCTGAATGCAGACTTTTAGCACAGGCAACAGGTAAATATGAAAGCAACCAATGCCTGGTTATCGCCTTTACCTGCAGTTTACACAAATACTCTTTTGTAGCATCACAAGATTAGGTGGAGATGGACCTTTTTATTTGTGCTTGGTAGAAGGTGGACAGGGAGGGAGCAAAGCCTGTTCTCTTCTACATTAAAAATAAATTTGCCAGATTATGTAAACCTTACTCAATATGAAAATCAAAAATTACTCTACAGATGAATATTAACTTGCAGCTGTGTTTAGAATGTTCACAACAAAAACCAAATCTGAGGATTGTGCTTCAGTTTTCTTTGAATTAAAAAAAAAAAAAGTGTGTCACTCTGATGATTTGGGTTCACTCATGCTATAATATCAACCCAGTTTACGCCTGATAGAAATGAGAATGGTGAGAATAACTCCAAAGTTCCACATAATTTCAAAATTTCCTCAAGTTTGTATGATTTGGAATACATCTAGATTTGTGCCACTTTTCTTGCACAATTTCCATTTTATACATCTTCGCAGAAATAGCATGAAATTAGACTACAGCAACAGTTAAAGAAGAAACTTTATCTTTTTTGCTAGTGTAGCATCTCAATAATACAGTTATATTTTACTTTTAAGGGGTTCTCATCCACTGCAAAAGCGATATAAATTTTTTTAATTTATCTTATTGATTTTCAGAGAGAGGAAAGGAGAGGGAGAGAGATAGAAACATCAGTGATGAGAGTCACTGATGGGCTGCCTCCTGCACGCCCCCTACTGGGGATCAAGCCTGCAACCCGGGCATGTGCCCTGACCAGGAATCGAACCTTGATCTCCTGGATCCTAGGTCGATGCTCAACAGCTGAGCCACACCTGGCCGGGCAAAGCAATATAACATTTTAAAAAAATATATCTTTATTGATTTTAGAGGGAGGAAAGGAGAGGGAGAGAGAGAGATAGAAGCATCAATGATGAGAGAGTCACTGATCGAGCCCGCAGCCCGGGCATGTGCCCTGACCGGGAATCGAACCCCGATCGCCTGGATCCCAGGTCGACGCTCAACTGCTGAGCCACGTCCGGCCGGGCGCAGTATAATTTTTTAATAAAAATGATCTGGTTTTCTCCCTTAAAAGAAACATAGTTTCCAATATTTCAGATTTTGTAGTTTCCCCTGCACTTTTAATTCTAAATATTAATTAGCATAGCAATCATAAATTTGCCTCCTCTAAAATGCTGCGGATTACATAATTTTAGAGTTGAAGAAGGTTTATCTTGAAGCCATTATTCTTTTTTAAAATAAATCAGAAAATTACTGTATTAAAAAACAAAATTTAGTTAAGTAATTAATTATTATGCATCGTCATATGAATTTGAAAATCTGGAATGTTATCTGGGTTTATTTTCTCAGAATTTAAACATACTAGCCTCTTGTCAGTTACAATTGATTGTGTTTTACTTCATCTCTATAAATGGATGGACATTATTCAGTAATGTATGATTTGTGGGCAAAATATGTCTACAAACAAATGACAACAAATGTTACAGAAGGAGACTTTCCTTGAGAGAGAGCCTGAAACCACTAATGCCTGTACAAGTAGATACAGAAATTCACCTCTTCAAGCCTCACATTTCTTATCTGCAAAATAAGAGGGTGGAACTAAGAGATATTTTGTTTTAGCTCCAACAACCTTTTATTTGAATCTACTTATCTACCATTTAACCTGTTGAGAAATAATTACAATAACATGGGCATAATTTATTAAAAAAAAAAAAATACTCTGTAATTTTTACACTTCCCATTCTTTAATTGCTTAATATACACAAGTCTGAGAGTTAGGGCTTGGATCTAGGTTTTATAAGACACTGACATGGTGTAAAGAAAATAAAAGTAAAGCAAGCCTGATAGAAATTCCAAATTATGGCAAAGCACATAAAGTATCCATTAGGTAGAGATGGGGAGCAAGTTCTGTTTTCAGTCCTTATGGCAAAAATTGTTAACTGCTCACCCAAATCCATGCTTTAGTTTAATTCCTAAGATAGGACATAATTCCCATTTCCTTGGTTGTTAAATGTGGTCATGTGACTACGATCTAGCCAATAGAATACGAATGTTCTTCACGGCCAGGGTTAGCCCATAGACCCTCTCATTAGCTCCTCCGGGTTCTTTTTCTATGAAATGACTCTTCCAGGTGGGCTCAGAACTCTTACATTGAATATGTCAGAAACCTACCTGGGTCTCTGGATGACTGAATGCCCAAGTACCCATTCTCACACCAAATTCCATTATGTGACCAGTACATACATTTCTATTGTGTTTGATCCTAATACAAGTTTGGGTCTATTTTTTAAAGCAGTTAACCTTCTCTAATACAGCCTTCAGATAAAATAAGAAACAAATTACACTCAAATTGCCCTCATTTTGTGCTGTTACAAACATATATAAGTAATTACCTACTACATAATTCAATATATTTGCATTTAGCTTACTAGATCAAAAGATGTAGCTACACTCAATTGGACAAGAGGATGATCAGCTTCATTACAAAATTAAGACATAATCTTGGTGAATAAGTTACTTGTTTAGTATGCGCTTGTGTAATTGGCTGGTAATGATATCTGTGATTACTACTACTGATAATGCAATCAATATGGGGGAAGTGTGTGGAATCCAGTGAGGGGAACACATTAGCTCAAAGTAATTAGCCCAGTAGGAAATACACTTAGGGTCCTGACACTGCAATGCAGTTTCCCTAAATTTGCTTCATCACAGGGAAATGCCACTAATAAAATGGGGAGAAAAACAGCAAATTTAAAGAATATCTCATGTAAAAAGTAAATATGTTTTATTAATATTTTAGGAAGAGGTTGTAGATAACATCTATCTTCTCTCCTCTTGGGGTGGGAGTTGGCATAAGAAATGATTTAAGAATCAAAGAAAAGAAAATGGGGAAGAGAGTCAAATAAGGGAAGTTAAGGAAAAGATCAAAGATCGCCCTTAGGCAGGAATAGAATTCCTCTTCCCATCCCCTCCAACCCCCAAACACACCCACACCCTCCCTTCCTTCTCCAATTTATAGGAGCTCACAATGAAATATACCTCTAGGCATACAAGAGATTATTTTTCATAAGAAGGAAATTAAAACCAAACTATATTAGCTGATGTTTCAATGCACTGATCTTAACTGATTTGTTTTCACCCAAGATTAAAACCACTTTTTAAAACCTTCTGAATTCCTGTTACTGTTAACTCTTGAATCTACGAGATTAGTGGCTTGTACAAAAATAACCTATTTTACTGTGAGATTTCTTTAAAAGCAGTTGGTTTCTGAAAGCTTGAAACTTAGGGAAAAAATTAAAAGCACAATCCTCAGACTCTTCAGAGCATCATACCCCAGTCTTCATTAATTGAGTATTCATTTAAAACCAATAAATAGCCTCCTACATATATCACAATTATGCAGAAGACACTATAACTGTCACTTAGGGCATACATTTTTAAAGCAATTGCTGAAATGCTTAATTAAAAAGTGTACTATTGCATTATTATATTTTTGTATTCATTATTAAAAGACTTTCTGTGTGTTCTTTGTGGAAAGATACTATGGTTGGAGATTGGAAACTCCACTAGATCTCAGAGTACCAGAGAATAAAAAGGGAAATACATGGGGGATGTATCGCTGCAACCAGCAGTGCATTTGGTCAAATCCTCGAGAAAATAAAAATATGATTCAAGCTTTGGTGAAATGACGTTTGCAGAGATGTAAAGGAAGTTACTTATTTGTAGCCGCATAAAGCTAATACCGTGGAAAGTTGCACAAAAAAGAGTTCTCATAGCCTCTTCCTCCTTCTGTTTCAGGAAGTCTTCTCCCAAAACTGACTTTGGCGCCTATTTTCTGGGGTCACACAACATTTTGATAACACCTCTACTCATACTAATTATCATGATATTAATTGTAATTTATCATAACAGAATCTTTCTCACTCCCTGGACTTTAAGGAGATGAAGCATGCTTTACCCATCTTTTTATCCACATAGCCTAATGCAGAATCTAGTACAAAATAGGTACTCA